ATAAACATTTGAAATATATGAGTTTGTATGTAATGTATGAATATAATATACAAGTTTCACTTTTTAAATGGAATTACTGAAATAAATCTACTTTTTCATGATATTCTAATTTTATGACCAACACCTGTATATGTTTTCACTGACAGATGAAGTTGTCTTATTGGTTTTTGCTGTGTGTGTGTGTCTGTGTGTGTGTGTGTTTTGTGCAGGTGGACGTGGGTCCAGTGAGTTCCTACGACCTCAGAGAGCTGACGTCTCTGATGGAGTACTCTGTGGCCATCTTTGCTCTGTACGACGACGGGCAATCAGAGCCGCTCACAGACGGCTTCACTACCAGTAAGAAACTAACAGCGAGTGTCAAGAAGGATACATGAGAACAGTTATTATCACAGCTGGAGAATTTAATATTTCAACTTTAGCTTTGACTACTTCTTTACTCTGCATCTGTTGGGAAATCATTTATTGTTTGGGTGTTTCCAGTTTTCTTTTAGCTAGTAAGTTCATCTAATCATCTTTACTTCTTGTTAAAATGATAGTCTGGTCATTTTGGAAACAATGGGCCTCATGCAAGAACCATTTGTATGCACAGATTTGTTCTTAAGTTGTGCGTATGTGTGGTCCAGACCTGTCGTATATTTTACGAGCAGTCAGTCTGCTGTTAGAATGATTTTTCTCACTAATGACTTCATATTTCATTAGTTTGAAGATATTTCAAGTTGAAAATAAATCACACACCAATATGTTATTCTGTTTGAACTGGAATTAGATTTTAATGACACAAACTGGTTAGATTAAATTAAATTGGCTAATGCTGTTGTATAACACTACAATATTAATATGAAGATCTCAAACAAAAAAAAAACAACTTAAGTTTTGCATTAATTGAAGTTTGGAGACATTTCAAAATGCTTTTTTCAGAAACGCATCTTACACTTGTGATGGCCAAGGGGTAGTGTGTGACCACTCTTCTTCTGAATAAATGAAAACTATGTAACACAGTTGTTTACACTTAAATTAAAAATATTTGACCAAAGAAAAACAGGAGCAGGACTAGAGAGAGATAAATATGATTTAGATTTTTATTTCAGTGTGTATGACCCACAGGAGACACGACATTAACAGCAGTCATCATTTCATTCCTCAGCTTTGGCAGCTCCTTTAATTCCACAGCTGATGCTGCTAAAAATGACAGATTTTCTTTTCTGGATCTCTGAGAGCAGAATTTCAATCCTCGAACTTGTAAAGTTCTTCTTTTTTTACTTTGCGATGTCATTTATGAATGGACACTACCTGGTATGTGGGGCAGGAAACGTAGCCTTATATGGTGTTTTTGGGGTGGTAATTATGCTAATCGCCTCTCAGCGTGCGCGAGCACCTGATACGCATTCATCAGTTTACGCTGCTCATTTACACACTTTTCCTGAAGATAGAAAATTTTGTTGAATCTGACGTGGCATGTTCATACGAACCCTTCATACAAACTAAAATAAGAGAAATTTAGGATTAGAATATGAACATGTCCTTGCATGAGGCCCAATGTTCTGTCAAACAGTTAGCAATAACTAATACCTTTCATAGAGGAAAATATTGAGAAAGAGGTAAAACTCTTTGTCTAGTCAAACAATGACTCATTTTGTATCATTTTTCAGGCTTGTCTTTTAGAAAACAACAAACCAGTGTGGAAGAATGCTACATTATTAAGCCTCTACTTTTTTTTTTTTTGCATTACACTCTTTGTTTAGTCACTGTTTTCCCAACTGAACCACGTCCTGAGGTTGCTGAGAGGAGCAGCCTGCCTAATCAGTGCTTCCAGGCAATCTTAAAGTTGACTCATCACATGGCAGACTGATACATTTATGCAATCCTCCAACACCATCGCTGTTTACAAGGTCTATCTCTGCTGAGCATATAATGACCACAGACGTTCGTTTGACTAGCCATTCGCCCAGCGAGGTCAAAGACTTCAATTTTCTCCGATACTCTGTGCTCTGATTGATGTCACAGTTGATAAGGTTCTTTCACACATCTTGGTAAAACCTCTGTCACACTTTTGCACAACATGGCTATCTAAGGTGTACTGACAGATGTGGCTGTAAAAAATCTACTGCCACAGATTTGTCCTTTTATGGATCTGTTACTAGAGCACAGGTATCTCCAGCTGCCACACATCTATCAGCCGTGTTCATAAAATTAATGTAACAAAAGCAGCAACTTGTCAACATTACACATACCACATATATATGTTTTAACAACAAAATTAACATAGTACCAACCTCAAAATAACATTATACAGTCTTTTGTTACATACTGCTACATTACTGCTAGTGTGATTACACTTACCACTGCTACTTTTTATATATCTTTATGTTCAATAAACTCAACTTAGTATGTTTGCTATTCATATTATCGACAGTCTGTGCTCACAGTTTTATTATATTATTGGGTAAAACGGTTCTGCATGTGTAGAGAAGCTCTATGACGCCCTAAGTGTAAAATKAAATGTTAATAAAATGTCACTAACACATTTTCATTATTTAGCTCAAATTCTGAGTGTAAAATCCTAGTTTATAAAAATTCCATTAACATTGTATAGTTTGTAAGTTTCCTTTAAATATACTAATTTTAAACAAAAAATAAAAGAGTATACTGTACATACGTCCAGTTTACTTTTTATGTACTTATCTGAGATATACTTAAATATTTAGTATACTTTTAGTACAAGCAAAGTATAGTATAAGAAAAACTTGGTTAAGTATATCTCAGAATACTAAGTCTATACTAATGTTTAAAGTTTTGGCCAAGATAAACTTCAGTAGTACAATGAAAGTACATTTTCACACAGACTGGTTTAATTCTAGTATATTTCAAGRTGAAACTAAGTATACTTAGAAGATTACTTTCTGTATACTTCTGAGAATACTTTCATAAACTTATTTTGGGCCAATATAGTCCAAGAAGTACACTGCTAGTATTCTTATATCAGTGTACAAGTTAAATAAAAGTAAACTTAGGGAAATACACTTTTATATAYTTTAGGATACTTAATGACATGTACTTAAAGTATACTTCTTTTTGGTAAGTTTAAAAACTTAAAAAGATATAACAGTATACTTAAAATATACTTTTTATAAACTTAAAAAGTTTAAATTTAGTTCAAATAAGTATTAAATTTGTATACTTTCTAGTACTATAAGTACATGGTGCATAGTATACTTGATATACTTAAACTTATACTCAGGTATACGTATTAAAATGAACTTCAACTGTACTACTTTTTACTAAGGGTTAGCTCACCATTCTTACATTTTGCTCAGTTTTACTAAATGTTCAATTTAAATGCTAAATAATATGTGTAAATTTTAAATCCTGAATCTAAATGTTAACATTAAATGGTAAATGTAGTGGCTGAATGTTGAAGTTTACATTTAAGTACACTGCCTAGCCAAAAAATAAAAAATAAATTTAAAAAATTGACCCCTGCTATGATCTGGGTGGAGTTAGCAGTTGCATTTGTCTCAGAATGATGACATCATAAACTGGGACGAGCACCAAAGGCAAAGGCTGCGTTCAATTTCCAAATACTTAAATGTAAACTTCCACGTTCAAGATTTAACGTTTACTTCTATATTTATGATGTATTATTTACATGTATTTTTAATATTTAAATTTAACATTTAGTAAAAATTTGCTAAATGTGAACAGTGAACTAAAAAATGAAAAACATATTGATGAAATATTTTAACATTTTATTTTACACTTGGTGCCTCATAAAGCTGCACTGTCAGTCTGTTTTGTTGGCCAATAAGTTTATGTCAATAACAAGCTGACAGTTGTTTATTTATACCACTAACTTACAATTTGAACCATTATTCACACTCCAAGCTTATAGATCTATACTGTTGTGTTTTTTATTGTTCTGTTTTTGTCATCTATATATTTAATTTTACAAACTTTGTCCATGCTGTTATTTGTCTCATTTTATTGATAATAGCTATCAATAACAGTGAAAAGCAAACGATTTCACTTGCAGTAGGAAACAGCGTTAAATTTTATTACCCTTATTGGTCCTTCTGCCGTGTTGGCTGTGGGCCCATCTCATTTACACTTCAGCATAATTGCCCAGCAACATTAAAAAGGTCATTCTACTGTCCCGGACTATTCCATCACACTAACAGATATTGATTCGTAGAAAATATTTCTTTAAGCTACAACCATTTAGGCTCATGTGCTGCGTCAGCCTAAAGACTTCTACGTGTGGTGATGGCTATTAAAATTTGCACTCATGTTGATTTTTATTTATCTCCTTCCCAACTTTGTTTAATGAACCGGCTTTATGAGCAGAAACTCCATGAACTAAAATAAATATGCAAGCACTTTAGAAACTTTAAGGGTCGATGCGATGGAGCAAGCCTGCAAWATTAGAGTTTACAGCAAGGTCTGCGCACGGGTGTGCTTGTAAGATTTGTGCTAAGCTAACGTTTTAAACCTCTGCAATAAATCGGTGGAGTATGAAAAGCAGCTTCATAGAACGACTTACTGAGAGACTTTACTGGACCTGGTACTATAAAGATGTAAATGTTGGATGTCTTTCAGCACCGGTGCCGGGTCCTTTAAATCTGCGCTCCAGAGATGTTGGTGCGGACAGATTTAAGGTCAGCTGGGATCACTCGACAGAGGACATTGTTCTCTACAGACTCTCCTGGGCGCCATTYGCTGGTGGCGACACAACGGAGGTCAGTAAATCTGAGATCCGACGAGTGAATTTTAGATGCTTTGAAGCTTGTCTGTTWGCAAAAKATCACAYAAACCAYTACATRGATTTTAATGCAACTTTTAAAAAAGTAATCACYGGATGAGCATCTACAACTRATTAGCTTTTGGGGTTAACACAATTCAAGATGGYCGCTACAGTCGATCAACMTTAGCAAACACAGACATGGCTCTAAATCAGTCAATTTTACACATTTTGAGTTAAAATTTGGTGTGGTAGTAGGTGAAAGTCTTTCCCAACACATACTCAGAGCATTAACAGCTCATGCAAATCATACTGTATTAAAAACTTTGGCAGGCACATCGATACGTTTCATTCAGCTTCATYGAGTGTTTGCTCAAAGTGTTAGAAACAGCTATGAGCAGGCTGCTAACACACGTTTCATAAATTAAACGCAGAGCTAATACTATATTGACAAGGACACCCATGGATTCAGAGCTTTTCATCGAACAAGAGGTCCACTTATTGTCTCGTTTCTAGCAAAAGAAAAGGCTGCAGTGTKTGTGTGCCAGATAAAGAGAAGACTACACTAAAAAAGACTTACACAGAAGCTCAACACCATTACTGGTAGCTAGTAAAACCTCTGGCATGGCTGAATATAAATAATGGCTGAATAAATCTAGAAATTAATGGCTTGGGTGTTTTATGACCATGATCTGGGGTTTAGAGACAGCTGGGAAGCAGCGATAGAGCCCCAAGTGTGTATGTGTGTTTGTGTGTTCACGTTGTGTGAGCCTGTTTGTGTATTTGTGAGGTTTGCTCAGAGTCATCAGAGCTGAAAATGCTTCTTTAGGGAATTGGTGAGAGAGGCTTGGAATACTGACAGTCTAAACAGAGAGTGCTACACGTTTTACTTCACTCCTTATCTGTATAAAATGAACTTATCTGCACACACAACTGTGCAAGATTTGGTGTTTATGTATTGTCGGCTGCCACTTAGTGAGAGCATGAAGTTCTACCTGTCATTAAACTTAAATCTGATGCCTTTTGAAAGCTGGTTAAAGCTCTCTTATGTGATGTTAAAATCTGAAGTCAGGAAAAGAAAAAGTGCTTTAAATCGTTGAGCTGTATCTAATTAAAATTTTAAAGAAATAAAAAGCAGATAATCACTTCATGGTTCTGGGCGGAAACGGTCATAGATGAGCCTTTAAAACCTATGTCATAAATCAGTAAACAATTACAGAAATTACACACATTCTGACCCTTTAAGTTTTAAATTTAAAGATGATTTACTGCCAACTTCGTGCTATTTTATCCATTTACATTTTTTTAAATTCCATTTATAAATATGTTTAATGAATCTGGAGTTTATTTTTASAAGTAATCAATTCTTTTATTACTATTTCAACAAGTATTTTTCTTTTAATACCTGTAAATATCAAATTAGAAGTTGATCCAAAACTCATTTGGCATAAAAATATATCAATATTTCGAAGTTTCTTGTTGCTTCATATTGAGGAGTAAAATCTTTTCTCAGTTATACCATCTGTGCTCGTCATTTTGACTGTTTGAGATAAGATGGATCAAATGACTGAAAGTTCAAATGTTATTTTATGATCAGTTCAATACAAAATATTTTATTTAAAAATGAAAATTTTGGTAATTTTTTTTGGTTATTTAATTGTGAATAGTGTTTCAAGAAATATCTGCATCCACACGGAAACAGTATGTTTCAAAACACTAGTACAGGGGTCTCCAACCTTTTTTTCTTAAGAACTACTTTCAGGAAATGAAATTGTCCATGAGCTACTTTTTGCATCATTTAATTTTAAACTTAATCTAGAATAAGCTTTTGTTTGAACATACACAAAAAACATTGTCTTAAACTCGCATGAAACCATCACAAAGAACACTGAATTTACACAAATGTATTTTTGTGTTTATCCGTTCATATTATGGTGTATTTCACACTACAAACTTAGGGTTTAACTGGGACGTATGCTGCAGTGGGAGGGGTCTCCCAGGAGCTTGGCACAGTGTGTCTCAAGGAGCTATGAAAGGTGTGTGCGAAAACGAACGCTGAACAACCATGCGTCTGGTCGTCTGCGGTTCAACCATACTGAGCCCTAGATTGTTTGATTGACAACCAAGGGGGAGGGACATCTATGAATTGATTGGATATAAATCAAAGTTTGTTTGGCCAGTGACAAATTAAATTTTGCTACTCTTGATTTTTCATAAGCACAGAAGAGCTTCTTTAAATGAACTCACGAGCTACTGGTTGGAGACCCCTGCTCTAGTACCCAATGCAGTCATCTATATAGCGCTCCAATGCTGCCACAAAAATACACTGTAATAGGAAAAAAGACATAGAGCGTTCACAAAAAACTTATGTAATGGGTGCAAAATGTGAACACAATCAAGAGAAAAGAGGATCTCCTCTGACTACATTATAATATCGATGGGGCGATGATGTGTTTGTTTTCAAAACATTGCGTTTTGGCTGTCTACGTGAAAATCRCAAGATTTCGCTAATCTTTTCCCTCTGGAACCTGTTTTCAAGACGTTTAATTTGTGGCTCATAAAATGCCATTTCTGTGTAAACACAGGGCTGAAACAATAAACTTTTGCATTTTCACCAAAAACATTCTGATGGGGCCTAAGTAGGCTGTGTGAGACCATTGATGGACATTTGAATGAGTCTCTTCTTTCTGCTGCAGGTGATTCTGAGTGGAGGTGAAAACGAATACATCGTCTCAGATCTCAGTCCATCCACTGAATACGAGGTCATGCTGACGGCCATATTCKCAGACGAATCGGAGAGTGACACCGTCTCTGTCATAGAGACCACATGTGAGTGTGAACACATTGTTGGATTGGGCACATCTGGATAACAAATAAGCAACTCTTTTTATTTTTTCTTGCAAAAACTCAATTTGAAACCAAGTTAKCTTTTAGTGATTTCTGTCCCACCTGCTCTAATTTGCTTGTTACAACAAAAATGTTTAAAGGGGACATTAACTGGACATATCACACAAAATTCACTTTTTTAGTCCTTAAATGCATTTTGTTGTGTACTTAGAGCAGTGGTTCTTAATCTTTTTTGAGGTACCGAACCCACCAGTTTCATATGTGCATTCACTGAACCCCTTTTTTTGGTGATAAATAAAGTGCAATTTATTTTCCAAAATTAAGACTTTTTTTCCTTTTTTGCTGGTGTATAAAATGAGCCGTGCATGAACATCACCTTGCTCAAAGAACAAAACCAACACAGTGCATGAACTCACAACAAATTACAGTATGACTTTATTCTGGCCCCCAAAAAATATTTTGGCCCCAAAAAAAATTCAGCCACCAAAAAAATATTTTTT